TTTATATTACATATAATAAAAGTAAAATCTAGATCTCTTTTGTCGCGAGAAAAAAATGACAATTCCGTGGAGAGCGGGAGTTAATGTGGACTATAAGGCACTACTGGCGGCGTTATATCGACGGTGCGTTTCTCCAATTCGTGGTGACCCCTCGCGGTGTGTTGGGGAAACCGACTCAATCCCCCTTTCCACCCTAATTGCGCTCGCGCTGCGGCGCATTTATACGGGCGGCCTGTCTCTAGGCGCTCCAGTCTCTGATTGGGACGCGACCAGTGCGAGCATGGGGTTCGCGCGTGCTTCGCGAGACATGCCGTACGGTATCGCGCTTTAAATCATTTTTCGACGACGAGTAACGAAACGTTCCGAGACGACCGCGACGAAAAAGAGGAAGAGGAGCGAAACGACGAGGACTCTTCTCTGCGTTTGCATGGCTCCGTGATCACTCGCCGATCTTTAACGTCTCCTCGCCCTTTATCTCTCGTGCGCTTCCCCTGGGATACTCCGGCGCGAGAGCGCGCCTAATCGCGTATGTCGCCGGGAAATCCGCCGATGTCAACGAACATTCAATTTTCCGCTCGATGAGTGAAGGATCCGCCACGCTATCGTGAATCAAGTTTGGGATCGGTGAGCTTGTGGTGGTACGGTGGTGATAATTGGGAAAGCTCATCTCCTTCCTTCGATTCGTGAGACAAGAGTAAGTACCACCCCCTCCGAGTCGTATCTACAATACACGTTTTTGTTAATTACATCGTCAATGACATTGCCATTACAATTGTGTTCTTACGACGCCCGCTGCAAAAGCGATTGATATTGAAACGATCGAATAAAAAAAAATCGAGGTACGTCATCCCCATTGAGGGGGTTCAAGGCGAAACGCTCGCGGTTTGAATTAATAAGTAGATGCATTTATGATCAGTGTCACTCCAAATCGTTTTCTTAATATAATGAAAGATTTATCGCATGAGACACAAGGTACTATTCTTTATATTTCGATGAAGAACGATTACGGTTATCTATAAGTATTATTATACCTATACGTCATCAAATTTCTGTCTTTTCGATTAAAAGGCAGAAAGAAGTATTAAATTTTGGATATTTAGGTGAAAGACTTTTGATTGTTCTTTGATCTTTGTATCTTTGAATATTTATAACCGAGAGAAATTTGTTTTGCGTCATATGTAAATCTTGGCACTTTGGATTCCTGTAGAGAGATTATGTCACGTCTCTTTGATATAATGTCCAAATATTACAAAATATCATACGCGAAAATCATAACATCGCTATAACATCAATAACATTAAACCCAATTGAAAATAAATCTTGCTTAAATTACAATATTGACGAAATAGATATATATGTAATTATTTTATTAATACCATTGAATTAACAAGATTATTTTCAATTGGATTTAAAACATTATTTTTGTTTATATATGTACATCTATCAAACGAACAATAAATATATGAAAATATTATGGTGGCTGGAATTTTATGCATAAAATTCCACGACACTTCTAATCAGGAAGTTAGGGTATTTAAAGGAGAAAATGGAGCATCTCGACTACCAGCAGCAATGCAGCAGGACATAAATAACTGATACATCTGTTGCATTGTGAGTCATTGGCGAGTCCACTTATTCAATGCACTGATAAGGAAACACGGCACGCGATATGTTAATGTTAGACTTTGACTTGAAATGGATATTCAAGATGGATAATCATGTGAATAGATAATCTCGAGGAATGAAGAACGCGCGAGATAAATTCCTCTGAAATGAAGTGCAATCATATATGCGGAATTATCAATTATTAAAACAAGAACAAATTATAACGTTATTATGAAAGTAAAATAAAATACAATTAAAAAAATAAAATTAAAACAAAATGCACTTATAAAAATGTTATATTGTAACGTTACATACACACACTATTTTATGTATATAAAATAATATAATATTTATATTTATAAATAATAGCGCGTTATTATAGTATCATATACTGATTTCGCTAGATCCGTAAGAGGCAATATTTAATTAAAGTCTCATTTTATACAATTTTTTTATATCTTTTATTTTTTATATCTTCCTATTCTGGCTACTTAATCACTCGCGTTAGAATTTTACACAGAAAGTTTCATTGTTCGAGCGATCGCAAGGAGGTTCTGTTCCATCATTTAATCAATTATGACTATATTGTATTGTAGTTACAATACGGTAATATAACTAATTATTTGTAATATATAGGTGGACAATAATTAATTATAAGTATATATTCAAAATTTTATACCATTCCTACACTATTTTTTGTATTACGTTTACTTAATCGCTCATTAACGCCACTTTTACATAGAAAGTTTCATTGTTCTGACATAGTAAGGAAATATTGCGTCATAGTGGCTTAATTAGAAGTTAATGCAATTAGAATCGCAAATTACACGACTTTCTTTATGTTAAATAATTCCACATAGTGCACCGCGGAAGTGAAGATAGATAATTTGTTGGCACGCGTAATTCAATAATGTTTTCGAGGAAATTGATTTTTGATATATCACTTTAATTTTCTTGCGACAAAAATCAAGTTCCTTGAAAACATTATTGAATTAAATATAATATATAATATAATATAATATATATATTGAATTAAATATAATATAAAATACGTTGCAAGATATATGGAAAGAGAAGAGCGGACGGAGATCGGAGATTCTTCGAAAAGCCATCGGTCCGTCCAGATCGAGGCTGCATGAGCTTGCTTGCGGTTGACGAGGTTTACTCGCCCGCGGGATGGCTCGCGCGAGTAATGGCGCGATAATTTTGCGGCGATTGAATTGCGGCGATGCAATTACTCGCTGGAGGCGTGCGCTCCCGCGAGCGAGGACGATCGAGATAAATGGACGGGGACAAAGCGTTTCGTCGCGTGAGACAGTCAATCGCTCGAACTGCAACATCGTTGCGCGGAACGAGAAACGAGTTGGTCCGACAATAAGTAATAAACGCAGGCGTGGTGGCATAATAAACGACGCACGACGCGATACTCGCGTATCGCGATTACTATTGTACGACATTGAACTTTCGCTCGATCCTTGTCGATCTTGCGCTACGCTAGATATTGCACCTTGCACCTTGGCATCATTTTCGTGTTTATTCGCGCAAGAGAAATATGGCGGCACAAATGTGCGCAGAGGCGGTTTTAGCGAAGGACAATATAGATTTGATCTTATCAACATTTTTCACAGTAGCAATGGGAAAGATCGTGGAAATAATTCTTTCTTATCTCTTCTTTTATTCGATATTTCGTTTCTACATTGTCTCAAGATTTTTAAGACACATGAAGAGATTAACGATCAAGTTTGAGTAAATTAAGAATGGATCGAGTTAAATGATAAATAAATTAATCGCATAATATTTTAAAAATGAACTTTCGAACTTATTATCTAATCCTCATTATCAATAAATAAAAGAAGAGAAGAAATAAAAAGTGAGAAAGGTAAATTATCATCAAAGATTTAATAATAAGATTTTAGCGATAAAATCAAAGAGATAAATAGATAAAAGTATGTATATATATATATATATATATATGGAAGAAATGAACAGATAATTTTTAAATAATAATATAGTTAAATAATATAAAAATATGTTATTATAAAAATTAGGAGACTGTGACTCAAAGTTAGATAACACGGTTCTTATATTTTAATATTGTGTCACTTGATGCGTTCGACTCTTTTATATTAACAATTAATGCGGCACATCTGCTCGATGAAAATAGATAAATTTAAGTGAACGCAGAGCGAACGTGCAATTCATTTCCGCGTTTTAAACATACAACGGGCCGATAAATGACATTATCGCGCATCGTGATAGGATTGAAATTATCCGATCGGTAATACACAGTTATTCGTACTATTGCTACACTCTCTATCAAGCACATCGTAGATGAACCGTTGCGCTCCGATATATATCGCGCGAGAGGTACGCCGCCTGCTGCGCGAGCCTCGTGCGGCTTCGGAATAGCGTGCCGCTCGTTACGACTGTTTCTCCGGTTAAAAGTGAATGGGGAACCCGTTCATTCATAAGATTTTCTTCCGAGGGGGCAGCGACCAGCTGCGCGCTTGCTGCTCGCCGTCCGGTCTCGTTCGCTTCGGTACAGCGCGGAGCGTGCGCGGAGGATGCGCTTCGCAGCTTCTGACTGGATATGCAGTCTTGTGTCACGCCCGCTAATGTGAGATATCACTTGAATCAAGGCACTTGAATCACGGCGCTCGAGAAAAAAAGAGAATCTCCGAATAAATATTTATAAACGGTCTCTTTCCTTTGAGCGCGGTTTCTCGCTTCGCTCGTTGAATTTTGAAGAGTGGAAAAAGAGTAATGCATTCGGAGGAATATCAATATTGTTACTTTATCTTTACTAACTTTCTAGATATTATTAGATAGAGACATTTTATCTTTTTCTCCGCACATAGAAAATTTGATTATTGTACCCCGCCAAAATATTTGTACAACAGATTTGTTTGTAATATATATTTGCGTGTTCAAAACAGAAGTTAAACATTAAATAAGGTGTAGTGCAGAATTAATTAACATTGAAACATATGTAAAAATAAAATGACGAACGCTGCATGAACATGTTAACTACACAAAAACATCGCGGAGTCTAATAACTGGCTGACACATTCAGAAAATGATTAACTAACGGCCGACTCGAGCCGGCTTCATCTCGTTGTCGTGTCGGGAATATACACCAATCGTAAAATCGCTAAAACGCACGCGGCTACGTCGACGCAACAAATCAGGGTGGATACCTGGATAGAGAAAGAAGGAGCAAGAAAGAAGGAAAACACGGTCGGATTTATCTCGCGGAGAATATGCGCGGCCCTTACGCGCGGTTTGTAAAGGTTTAACATCGCGTAAAAAAAAAAAACGCGGCCGAAACATTTCTCCCGTTAATCCCGTCTCGACGCTCGCCAGCAACGTACACCGAACATCACGATTAATGAACGGCTGTCAACGGCGTTGCATCGCCGGAAAATCAGTTGCACATATCGTGGACTATACACGCTGTCGAGATGCGTTTGGTCGAGAGATGGTGCGATCGTGCATCGGATTAAGTTGGATTTCACTGCGCACGTTCTGATATTCCGATGACAGCACGATCTTTAGAGCGTCAATCTAGAAGCGTGTAATTTTATGCGAGGGGAGATTACGACGAAAACTGAACTGTTAGTTTCGAAAGTAGGGAGGGGGGTGCCCCGGGAAAATTATGATGTCAGTATTGTCTTCTATACATTTAATTTACATTTTCGTAATACCGAGCTTATTTTTTATTTATGTCAAGTCACTCGAAAACGTTAACTTCGAGATCGCGAAATTTTGTGGATTTTCGGAAAGGGCAAAACTATCGATGATTTATTGATTATTATTTTCAAAATGGATTTCTAAAAATCACTTCGTCATCTACTTTTGCTGACACTGTTTTAACTGTTTTAACACACTTTACAATATGAGGTATTGCCAAGTGTGTAGAGAAATAAAGGAAAAGAAATATCAACGATTTAATTTTCATCCATCCTTCAGAGGAATCGTATTGTTAATAATCATTTGACGACTGTGGGGCTCGTCTGCGGAGCAGCACGCATTTACACGCAAAATAGGGAACTCCGCATTGAAATAAATTTTTAGAGATTTGTCTTACTT